CATCCCCAAAAGTTCAAACTTTATAAATTTAACTTTCCTAGACACTTTATGTAAATGTAATCATACAGTATATAGCGTTTTATGTCTGGCTTCTTTCGTCTAGCATAATGTTTTTGAGATTGATCCATGTATCCTAGTATGTTCCTTTCAATTGCTGAATAGTAATCCATTTTATGGATATACCACATTTTGTTTATCCATTCACCAGTTGTTGGAAATTTGCATTGTTTCCATGTTCTGACTGTGAATAATGTTATGAGCATTCCTGTACATGTCTTTGTGTGGACATAGGGTATTGTTTCTCTTGAATAGGTTCCTAGGAGGAAAGTTACTGGGTTGTGTAGTGAATTCCTATTTTAACTTTTGAAAAAATTGAACTGTTTTCTGGAGTGGAAATGCATGAATGTTTCAGTGTCTCCACATCCTCTCCAAAACTTGTTTTTTCTTTTTGATTATAGCCATTGTAGAGGGTGAATAGTGGTATTTCATTATGATTTTGATTTCTGTTTTCCTGTGCGCTTGTGATGTTGAGTGTCTTTTTACGTGCTTATCAGCTATTTATAGATTGTTTCTGGAGAAATGTCTATTTGGCTATTATTGTTTTAAAAGTTCTTTGTATATTTTGGATACTAGTCCCTTATCAGATGTATGATTTACAAAAATTTTCTCTTAATCTGTGAATTCTGTTTTCACCTTCCTGATAGGGGTATTTTTTTTTTTGAAGTTCAGGCATTTATTTCATTGTGATGAAGTCCAAGTTTTTCTTTTATGGATGGTACCTTTGGTATCATATCTAAAAATAATTCTGCCAACCCAAAGTCAAAGACTTTTTTCCCCTATATTTTCTTTAAATATTTAGTTTCAGTTCTTAACGTTTGACTCTGTTAACCATTTTGATTTAACTTTTATGTATGGTATGAAGTAAGGGTCTAAATTCATCTTTTTGCATGTATTTCTAGTTGTCTTGCCACCATTTGTTGAAGAACTATCCTTTTGCTGTTGATTTGTCTTGGCAAAAATCAACCATAAATGTAGGGAATTCTGGACTCTGAATTTTGGTCTGTTAATTTACATAACCTGTCATGATTTCTGTGGCTTTATAAAGCAAGTTATACCTTGTTCTTTTTGATCCATGAGTTAAATTTAGAACTGCATTACATAGTTTACAAATATTTGGAGATTTCCTAAGGAACTTTCTATTTTGGATTTCTAATTTAATTATGTTCTGGTCAAAGAACATACATACTTTGTATGATTTAAATCCTCTTGAATTTACCAACTGTTGTTTATGGCCCAGAATATGGTCTGTTTTAGTCATTATTCTGTGTGCACTTGAGAAGAACATGTATTTTGATGTTTTTGGTGGAGTGTTCTATAAATATCAGTTAGGTAAAGTTGTGGTTAGTGCTCTTCACGTCTACTATATCCTTGCTGATTTTCTGCCTGCTTGTTCTATCATTAATTGAAAGAAGGGTATTGAAATCTCCAGCCATACTTGATTTGCCCTTTAGTCTGCAGGTTTTTCAGTTTTGGCTTCATGTATTCTGAGGCTCTGTCATTAAGTTCATAAATATTTAGGATTATTATGTTCCCTTGATTAAATGACCCCTTTATCCTTATGAAATGATCATCTTCATTTTAAGTACATTCTTTGCTCTGAATTCTACTTTGATACCAGTATATTCCCTATTGCTTTCTTTTGACTAGTATAGTATATCTTTTTCTATCCTTTTATTTTTAATCTCTTTGTTTCTTTATATTTACATTGTGTTTCCTGTAGGCAGCACATAATTGGGTTTTTCTTTTTAAATCAACTGGCAATCTCTACATTTGAAAATTGCTATGTTTATACCATTTTCATTTAGTATGGTTATTGATATGAGTGAGTCTGTCATATTGCTATTTGTTTTCTATTTGTCCCATGTTTCTTGTTCTTATCTTCCTCTTTATTAATCAAGTGGTTTTTTTTAATTCCATGTATGTCCTTTTTTCACTCTTTAGCTGGAACTCTTTGCTTTTTTTTTTTTTTTTGCTTTAATGGTTACTTTACCATGTATAGCTTTAATTTATCACAGTCTATTTTCAAAGGGTGTTAGGGCATTTCATGTATAGCTTAAGAACCTTACAGTAGTATCCTTCAATTTCTTCCCTCCTAGCCTTTTTACTATCATTTTCAAGCATTTTACTATCATGTATGTTTCAGACCACACGTCGTTCATTTTACTTCTACCTGTAAGTCTTCCTTTAACATTTCCTTAATGCTGGTCTTTTGGTCATGAATTCTTTTAATAAATGGCAGTGATTTTGTCTTTTTTTTCTTCTTAAGATATAATTTGCATACCATACCATTTACCCATTCAAAGTGGGCGATTCAGTATTTTTAGCACATTCATAGAATTGTGCAACCTTCATTACAATTTTATTTTAGAATGTTTTTGTCCCCCCTAAAATAAACCCCATATTTATTATCAGTTGTTCTGCTCATCACCTATTCACCCATGTGGTGTGGGAGGGATTCCCCCACCCTAAATACTACAAGATGGCCAAAAACACAATGCCCTGCACTGGACAGATGAGAGAGACAGCAGTTTATTAGACACATACACTCATGGCTTAAGGAAGGAGGAAATCTCACAACGTACAGGGCCATGTGGGTGTTTCACTTGGAAGCAAAGTAAACAAACATGGGCTTTGGGAGGCAGGCTTTATAGTAACATGAGAATGAGATGACCCCTGGTTCCCACCAGAGGTTGTGATTGGCTTGTCTGAATAGTACCACAGGCTGGCAGAGAAGTGAAACTTGTTAGGTTAAGAATCTGGCAGGATGCAGCTGATTTAGTTGATTGTAGAACCTGGAGGGGGAACCTTTTTGACTGGGAGGGAATATCTGGTGAGAGCAGGGAAACTCATGCTTAGGCCTTTGGGGCCCTATGAGGCTCAAGGGTGTCAAGGCAGCCCTTAATACTGAATTTTCATCTCAGACTTTACACCAGGCAGTCAATCCCCATTCCTTTCCAGCCCCTGGCAAACAGATCCACTTTCTGTGTCTCTCTGAATTTGGCTGTTCATTTCATGTGAATAGACTCATACAATATGTGATATTTTGTGTCTGGCTTTTTCCCTTAAGATTGTTTCCCAGGTGTCATAGCATGTGTCAGTACTTAACTCCTGTTATTGCTGGTTAGAATTCCACTCTGTGGATATGCCACGTTTTATTTAATCCATTCCTCAATTGAGCATTTGGGTTGTTTCCACTTTGGGGCTATTATGAATAATGATGCTGTGAACATTTGTGTACACATTTTTGTGTGGATGTTTTCACTTTTCTTTGGTATATACCTAGGTTTTCCTTTGTTCAGAATTTTTTGGCTTGATATAAAATTTGGGTTGATAGGTTTTTTCTTTCAGTGCTTTTAAAATATTCCTCCACTGTCCTCTAAGTTGAATTATTTCTAATAAGAAATCTGCTATCATCCTTGTCTTTTTACTTCTTTGAACGTATAATGTTTTTGGATGCTTTTAGTAAGTTTTTCTTTTTATCATTGGTTTTAAGCAATTTGGTTATGATGTGCTTTGGTGTAGTTTTCATCGTGTTTCTTATATTTGGCTTTGTTGAAATTCTTGGACTTATAAGTTTATAATTGTCATCAGGTTTTTTTTAAACATTTCAGCCATTTTTTTTCTTCAGATATTTGCTCTGTCCCACCCTCACTTTGGGACTTCAGTTATTCATACAGTAGGTTGCTTGAAGTTGTCCCACAGTTAACTTTGATATTCCTTCATTTTGGTGGAATTTGCCTCTGTGTGATTTTATTTTGGATAGTTTCTACTGCAATGCCTTTGAGTATCTTTTCTAAAGTCTAGTGTACTGTCACTCTGTTTCAATATATTTTTCATCTCACATATTGTAGTTTTCATCACTAGAAGTTTGATTTGGGTTTCTTCAGTATCTTCCAGTTTCTGCTTAACTTTTTGAACATACGGAGCACAGTTGCAGTAACTGTTGTAGTGTCTTTCTCTGCTATTCTAACATCTGTGTCAGTTTCTATTGATTGATTATTCTCTTTAGTATGGGATTTCTTTTTCCTGTCTCTTTGCATTCCTGGTAATCTCTGAGTGGATGCCTGACATTTTGAAATTTACTTTGTTGGATGCCAGATCATTTTGTCGTCCTTTAAATCTTGAGCTTTGTTTTGGGGTACAGTTGAGTTACTTGGAAACAGTTTGGTCCTTTCAGGTCTTACTTTTATGTTGTGTTCTGTCCGTTTGTTGCCATGCTTAATCTACATTTATTATTCTCCATTACTGCGGCAAGACCTTCCTAATACTCGGTGCCCTTGAGTTATGTTTTTACATTCTGTCCGTGGAAAGGAGCATTGTGGTCCAGTATGAGTGTCACTAGTATTTTCCCAGCCAAACAGGATGAAAACCTTTTGGATAGTCCCCCCAACCCCTGCCCCCAGCCTCAGGGAGTTATGCACATTCCCTGATTAGTACTCTGCTGGATACTTGAGGGGGCCTTTCTGTAGACCTCCAGGATTCTCTCCTTGAAGCCTTGCTCTCTCCTGTCTGGTATTCTTCCTATGAATTTCAGCGGCTTGTTCTCCCTGGATTCTCAGCCTCATCTTCTCAGCTAAGGGAGGCTTGTGTGCTCTCCCTCATTGCAATCTCTCGGCACCACCGCATGGAAACTCTCTCAAAGCAATTTCATTTGTTTTCCGAAACTCCGAATCATTGACTTTTGTTGTCTGATGTCTGATGTCTTGAAAATAGTTTATTTTTTCCCCTTGGGTTATTTCAGTTGGAAAGATAAATTCAGTCCCTTTTATTTCATCATGGATGGAACAGAATCTGCCCCAAAGGATTTAGACAGATGAATAAACCAGTTGGGATATGAACTCTTAAATGAGTTTTTTTTCCAACAAAGATTTTTGTTAATATTTTAAATTCTTTTCATGATAAATTTCTTGGTCTAAGTAAGTTTTCTGTTACCTTTACAGCTTGCCTCTGAAGATTGATTTGCTAGATAGTCCAGACTTACTGGAAACAACCATTGATGATGTAATTGGGACACTTGACACTATGGACACATCCCAGGCACCAGATGAAATTAACAAAACCACCAGGCAGACTGGATCAGAGGAACCTGAAGTTGAACACGGGAGTAAGTAAATGTTCTGTATAACATCAGTGACGTTTCTTTATTTTACTCCCCTTTGAAATGAGCTGTGTAAGTCAGTTCCTCCAATAATATTTTATGCATCAATGTCGAATTTGAAATTTTAATGTAGAATAGTTATGCCTTCTTGCCTTTTTGGCTTAAGGGTCCATTGAAATATTTATGGTCTTACATAATTGAGACCATTAAACATTTGTATTATTTATTAGTGATTAAACATTTTTGAATTTTCAAATTTGTTTTTTGTTTCTTGAGTGAAAATTAAGAAAGAAGTTTCCTTAAAGATTTTTTAGGGCACAGTATTGAATAAATGTTTGAACATTCGATTAACTCCTAGAAAGTATTTTGTTATTAATGAGGGTTGTTGTTGCCCAAAACCACAAAAATAAATAATTCAGAATGCATGCTGCTTTCCTTAATTTCTTAAAAGGTTGAAAGGAAACAGTAGATTGCACATTGAAAAATTCTATGTGAGTTTGGTTTGACATTAAAGTGTAAACTGTCTTTAAACAGGAAGTTTCTATTGAATTTCAGTGTAAAGTGTGTTCATTTAAAAGCAGCTTATACTTACGTGACTCTTGCCAATTTTGATTTCTATTGCTAAAATTAGACTCCATCTTTAAACAGCTCATGGGAAATTGCCTGTTGTCTCTGAAGAGTGTGGAATACAGCATGAGTGTTTGGTAATTTACACAGAAGTGTTAATGAGCAGTTACACAGTGCTTCTGGTTAATAGAACATGCTGAAGTAATAATGGTAATTGGCATTAAAAATTTGTTCCCTAAGTAATCACTACAAATACACGGTTAAACAAATGTTCTGATATATCATAGTTATGTTTTTATTGACATCTACCATGTTTAAATTGTGCTTGTGAGTTTGAGGTCAGGGAAACAAATTTATTATGTTGATAATTTCAGAATGGTATTCTAATCTGTTTGTTTTTTTTTAAGGTAGTAGTCAGTTATTGGATTAAGAAAACTCTCCATTACTCCAGGCACACTTTGTTTTATTGCACTCTGCAGATACTGTGTTGTTTACAGAATGAAGGTTTGAGGCAACCCTGCATTGTTAGATGATGGTTAGCATTTTTCAGCAATAAAGTATTTTTTACTTAAGGTTTATACATTGTTTGTGTAGAGTTAATGCTATTGCACACTGAATAGATTGCACACTGAATAGACTACAGTATAGTACAAACAAAACTTTTATATGTACTGGGAAACCAAAAAAATCATGTGACTCACTTCATTGTGGTAATCTGAAATGGAACCTGTGATATCTCTAAGGAATGCCTACATTTCTCATGTACTTTCTTTGCAACAGTTTCTTTTGGTTATTTTGTAGTTTCCACAGCCCTGCCCTGGACCCTGTCTCTTGTTAGAAATGATCACTTTGTCACTGGCAAGATGTGAGATGTAACAGACCAAAGTCATTAGGATTTAGATTCAACCAGAAGCAGGAGTTACTTAATACAAAGTATTTTCAGGGTTAAAATAAAAAGTATCTTTTAGAGGATGGCAAGATTGATTTTATTTACATTACATTTTATGTCCGTTATATGAATTTTTAAAGTTTTTAAAATTCTTTCAGTGCTGCAATAGTACTATATTAGCAAACAACATTTACTTAGTACATACTTTCAAGGAAATTATATTGGTTTTGGGGAATATGGTAGAACAAACTAGGGATGCCTAGAAAAGAAGAGCTCAAATGATATGTAACAACTTCAAATATTTCAAAGCCTGTTATATCAAAGACTTTACTTTATGTCATTTTATTTGTGGATTTAGATCAGCAATTTGAAAGTATAGGGAAGCAGATTTGGAATCAGTATAGGGAAGAATTTTTTAACTGCTTCAGGAATAGATACCTAACAGTGAGGGAGCCCTTCATTCTACTGCGCAGCTTAAATGCTATAGAGGTTGTGGCAGAAGAAATTGTTGCATAGTGTAGGAGTTTTATTAGTAACAGTTCAGATGTATAACATTTGCTCAGGGTCAATCAATGTAAATAAGGTTTTGATGTTAAGAATTAAGTTCTTATAATCTTGGTATCCAATTTATTCTGTATTTTCTTTTGGTTGTAATGTCAAAATCCTGATTGACCTAGGTAAGTAGTTATAAATGATAACTTTTTTTTAAAAAGTTTATCCTAGAATCTCAGGGTATTTCTCAGCTAAACAGAAGGTAGGAGAAGAAGCTTTATTTGAACCAATCTCCCTCCCAAACCCAACAGTACTAATTTATCAACATAAGCTAAAGCACTGTGATCTGAACATCATGTTAAAATTTAGTGTCAAATAATTTGAAGCATAAGAAAACCAGGAGGTGGCAATTAAGTAAATAAATGCGTATGGAAGATTTTGAGAAGATTAGTGTTGAATTAATGATTGTTAGTTTTGTTTGCACATTAAAATCACCTGAAGAGTTTTAAAAACTACCTACCGATGTCGGAAAACTACCTTCAGAAATCCCATGTCATTGTTCTAGGATCAGCTCTGGGAATCAATATTTTTTAAAAGCTCCACATCTAATTCTAATACGCAGCCAAGGGAAAGATTTACAGAGCTAATTGATGGACACTTTTAAAAGATCCCTTTGACCAAAAGGAAATGATTTCATAGTTGTTCCCCCCTTCTACCTGATTATATAGAAATTATTAGGCATTCAGCAGCTTTTTTGTCAAGTGGACAAGGTAAAAATTCAAACTCATACCAAATTAGTCCCTGCAAAATAAGATTATTACAACTAATAGTTGTTGATTAGAGTTCATTTAAAGCTGAATTGTATTTGTCGTATTATCTTTTCAGTGGTTGGAGGATTTTATTTGTAAAGTGTTTTGCAGCTAGGTGGAACACAGAGAAGATAAAATGCTTGTCCTGCATCACACTTGATGTTAACAATAGGTATATATTGAGTCAGTGAATGAATCAGTGTATGTCCTTCATCTGTTTGCTCCACATAAGTTTAGAAAGCAGTGTATAATCAGGGCCAAGGGAAGAAAACAGCAAAGTGCAAAGTTTTGGCAGGAGGAGCTTGGGTTGTGGTTATGGAAGGAAGAAAGGATCATGTCACACATGTTCTCTGCCTTTTCTTCAGATGTTTTAGCTAGTAAGCTTTCTTACCTACATATGCTATTGAGATTTCATATCTAGTGGCTTTTTAGGAGCAGTTCAGATACAAGGCAGTGTTCCTATTTAAATTAACTCTCCATTAATTTGCTTAAGAATTATCTGGATATAGAAAGAAACTTTATTCTGTGGTGATCTGGATTATTACCTTTAACTGATGGTAACTGGTGTCGGGGCGAACAAAAGCTTAAGTCTATACCCTCATGACAGCCTAGCAGACTAAGGGGCTATTTTACTTTTTTTTTTTTTTCCAGCATCAAAAGATGCCTCAGAGAAGCTCAAACACCTTGAGATGGAAAACAGTCCTTTGTCGTCCCCTCATTCTAACATCAATGTTAATATCAACAACCAGGTATTCAGATTTCTCCTTTATACCTGTCACACATCTCCAGACTTCCCAGAAATCTTTTCTATCCAAAGATAATACTTTTTTTTTCTTTTGCTAGGAAATCTGTCTGTGCTGAACTCTTATAAACCTGGTTTATCATTTAAAAAGGTGAAATTTGTGAATATTTGGGGGAAGGGAGGTAACTTGACATTAATAATATATTGTCACCTCATGATTTTTTTTTAACACAGTCAAAAGTGGTACAGTTGTTAAACTTTTTATTTTGATTCAGCTCATTCCTTCTCTAATTTTGTCCAATGAGGATCTTGATATAATTGAAGAACTTAGTTGAAAGCCTTTTAAAATTATAGAAAGATTTGTTCGGAAGGGAACTGCTCTGTAATAAAACAAGAAAGCGAATAGAACTTCAGATGCTTAAGCCTCATCCCTCATACCTTTCACATGACGTGGGCAGGGTGAGATATATTTAAACCAGTTAAACTTCAGTTAATTGTTTGACGGTAATTAAAATTTTTTTCATACTTCTACATTAAATAACTTACAGAGATAACTAAAATAAATTGAATGGGATAAAAATTATTAATTGTATCAGTTCCCAGATGTCCTCACTAAGTGGAAGAGTGAATTTTAGGTAATGATCTGGAGACAACCCCCTTTTTTTCCTATATATAGACAACAGATAACAAGGGTCTGTAGAATGAATTTTGTTTTGGTTTGGTTTTGAGAGGAAAGGGAAATATCTGACTTGCAGTGTTCTTTCATCCTTGGATAACTAACTGGAATTTCTTCAGAGACCAATATGGAGTACAGAGTGATTTTCTTCTTACATAGTCATTGTTAAAATTGTTCTTTTTGAATCCAAGTCTGTCTTTTTTTTCCTTCTGTATGTTTTTCTTAAAAATGTCTTTAAGAAGCTGATTAAATTTCAGAAAGCCTTTCATTTTTTTAATCCCTCAGTATTTTTCAATTGTTTCCTTTACATTGTCAGTTTTATGTTTGTTTGTTGTTTGTTTATTTTTTACTATCTCTGTAAGGTAGGGGAATGCAGAGTGAGAGACAGAAGGGTTAATTAAAAACTTTAGATGGTTGGCAATTAATTTGACACAAATTTAGTGGAGGTCTGGAATGAACCTAAAGAAGAATGAAGCCTGGTAAATCCTGGAGGAGTCGGCAGGGTGGGGAGAAGAGTGACTTATACTGAAGGGAGTCATGGAAATTCACTGAGTAGCTGCTTACTCTTTTTGTAAAATTCCATGTGCATTTTGCTATAACTTAACTGAGCCTCTGAACCAGAGGATCTATTAAATTAGTTTTGAAGCCTTGAAAAAAATGAGTGTGGGTTCAGGATAGGAAAGAGAATAAAAGAATGGGTTAGGCAAAGGACGGTATGCTGTTAAGGAGTATTTTGGTGTTCACATAGCTAGGAAAATAATAGCTAGCATTTGGTGAGTGCTTACTCAATGCCAGGCAGGAATAACAAAAAAAGAATTCAGTTTTGTATCAGCTCCACTAACTAAAGTAATTTTAGGATGAAAAACCTACTGTAAATAAAATATATTGTTCTAAAACAAAGTATCAGTTGTTGGATGGTTAGCTCTAAAAAATAGGTAACTGAGAAGCTCTGAGCCAGCCACAGAGTCTTGAGGCTCAGACTAGCACTACTGACAACAAAGTTGACTTCAAATTCATGTCCGAAGAACCCATTTTAAAGGGATCTCATACCCCATCAGACCTGCATTACCCAGGATTGATACAGTCTCTTGAGAACCCGATAGATACACTGTTGATCGAGTTCTACAAACCTGTTTATTGTTTACTTTGTAAGATAGAAAATAATAAATATTGTGAAGAATCCAAGAATGACAAAATCTTGGCCCTCAGGAAACTTAGACCTGTCCCGACTAGCCCCATGGAAGTGTTGCAATTGGCCTTCTCTAGTGAGCACCTCCTATTGCAGATCTCATGCACTAATGGAATTTTCTGAGGGTAACAGCTGGGAAGTACAGTATTTGAAAGGGAAAATCAGAATCCATGAAGACTTTAACAGGCTGGAATAAAGGATTGGATTTAAGAATGTATAGTGTGACAAGTCTGACAGAAATGTAGGATCAGGGTAGGGAGGTAGAATGTAACAAACATGTAAAAAAATGTTTGAGAATATGTAAATGGAGTATGAAGTGTGGCTCCCAAACCAACAGTGTTGTATTAACTGAAAGGACTTACAAAGTGAGATCCAACCATAGCATTAAAAAGTAAGAGAGGTACCACTCTTTAAAAATGACTTAGGAAAACTAAAGCAGTTTGAGAAGAAAAGAAATATGGTGAAGGGTCTTGAAGCAAAGTTACAACTGAGAATCTCAGTAATCTCAGGAAAGAACACTTCAGTTATCTTAAGAGCTATAATGTGAAAGAGGAAATAAAGTAACTTGTTTTTCAATAGCTTCAGAGAAGAGTTAAGGCCAACGAGAACATTAGAGTTACGCAGATTTCATATCAACGTAAGAAAGCATTTCCTAAAATATCTGCAAACTGAATGAGATGCCTGAGGAAGCAGCAAATTCCCCAGTGTGGGAAGTTCCTCAGGCCAAGGCTAAATTAATCACCTTTTGAAATATTTTGGTGGTTGGATGAACTGATCGTTCTTTCCAACCCTGAGATGCCCTGATTTTAAGTGTCATTGTTGGGATTCTTCCCTCTTTCATGGTGCCTCCTTGTTTAGAAAGTATTCACGGTGTCTGCCTGACCTGTGTGTTTGAAATCCTTTAGGGCTTACTGTGTCAAGATCTACAGATTTTTCAGTTACCTTCATCCTCTTAATTACTTAAGACAATTCCAGGATTTTCTTTATCTTCAAATTTCATTTCAGGGATCTTTTTTTTTTTCTTGTTCTTTGATCAGCAATCAAATTTTTTTAAAATGCTTTAAGTAACAAAATCTAAACTGCATTTATTAGTGAGGATGGGGGCACAATTAAAGCATGAATGGCCCTTAGTAACTAGTCTTTTTAGGGTGAAGGATTTAAAGTACAGCATGTTGACTGTGTTCTCTTGACCGGAAGTTGGCAGCCTGTTTAATTTAAAAGATCAGTAAATATTTCAGTCTTAGCAACTGAAGTCTCTGTCTCTAGTCTCTGTCGTTTTACTCAACTCTGCCATTATAGCATGAAAGCAGCCATATAGGGATAAGCATGGCTGTATTCCAGTAAACTTTATTTACTATAACAGGTGATGGGCCAGATTTGGCCTCCAGGTTGTACTTTGCTGACCCTTTCTCTTGTTAGGAATTTAATCTGGCAGCAGGTTGCTACCACATATGATTTGGAATGATCTTTGTCATTTTTACTCTTTTGATTTTCTTTGTATACTTAAAAGTATAACCAGAAAGTGTATCAAAAACCAGAATCTGCACTCTGAATGAAACAAAGTAGAAAGGTGAATTTATTGTGAGGGTTTTGACCTGCAAGCTTGGAAACTCCGGGCTTGGGAATAGTAAGTTCCGAGTTGCTCACCAATCAAGAGGTTCTTGTGGGATAAGTACAGAAGTTATTTGTTTTTTTGTTTTTTATTCAGCTGATTGGTTGCTTAGTGGTCTTCTTTCTTATTTGGATCAGGGTAGCTGAGTCAGGGAAACAGGGAAGTCCAGAGATGGCATGAACAGACTTCAAGTATGGGGATTGGCTGGTGTTCTCTGCTGAATTCTGAGAAGAGCTGTAAAAAAGATTAGGTTAAGTTTCCTTTACGCGCCTTCGTTGACCATCTCCATTTTGTCCCTGCCATAAGTGACTCCAAACATTTTAGTTTGGTTTAATAAATAGTTACTTTCTTTCCTTTTATCCTCAGTTTGGACACACAAGGCATGGTGATAGGTCTAACTTCCCTTTGGGAAATGGAGGCAATCTTCAGACATTAGCAGTGCAAAGGCCACACTTCTCCAGGGATCAACGAGCTGTTGCCTATCATGTAACTTGTTAGTAGAAATGATACTTTCACAAATGCAAAGGCAAATATTTCCTATTTGACAGTAGTTGCTGTAGAGGAGGAAGTAATTTTCCCTCTACCCTTAGTTCTTGGCTGAGACCCCTGTAACAAAAGACAGATTAATGAGAAAAACAAATAAGTTTATTAATATGTATACCTCCCATAATATTGTAAATCAACCGTACGTCAATAAAAATGAATACATAAATTAAAAAAAATATGTATACCTCCCATATACATGGGAGATACCAGGGAAAAAGGAGTAACTTTCAGAGGTGGAATTCAAGCTAAGGACCATATTCAGCTAAAGTTAAAGAAAAAAAAGTGTAGTGGAGAGTAGGAGGAAAAGCAGGGTAAATAAGTGTGAGGCTTGTTATGCAGATTTAAACCCTTGCTTTTCAGTGACAGGAGCTGTCTGCAGGGATTACATCTGTCCTTCCTGGTGGAGAGGGAAGGAGCAACTCCTTTGTAAATTTCTGTCCTGCTTTTAGGCAAATAGGGGAAGAACAGAGCTTTTCTTGTATCTGTTTCTTCTCAGTTTCCTTCAGCTCAAAATAATCCTGATGCCAAAGTGACATATTGGGGAATGGCATATTCTCCTACCCCTCGTTTCCTTGACTTTTTCAGCTTAGAGAATAGTTACTAATAATATTATACTAATATTGTTGTAGGTTTTTTAAAAAATAATTTTTAGAAAGTCTAGAAATCAGGCTATCATTCTATTGGTGTCTTACCATTTTTTAGTTTATATAGTAAGCTAGTTCTAGAAAGTTCATATCCCTTTTGTCATGGTATCAGGCATTCTTCTGGCTTCATTTAGATCCAGTAAACAGTTTAAGGGGAAGAAACAGTTTATAAAGTGGTTAAAACCTTTGTGTATATTTAGTATATATTTTAAAATATATTTAAAATATGAGATAAATTGTATCTACTGTTCTAAAGCAGGATTCTTAACTTGCAGATCATGGATCTACCCATGAATAATTATGAGGAGCGCCTTAAACCCTATAAAATTGAATACATATTCTTGTCTTTGATTCATTTATATATTTTTCTGGAAAGTGGATCCAAATTTTATTAAATTCTCAAAAGGGTCCATGACTCAAAAAAGGAGTGAACCATACCAACCTTAAAATAACTCTTTGCATCTCTGCAAGGTTATAACTAAAGAGAACTTCACTTTAGTTAAAAGACTTGTACAATTTTTTTAATTAAACAATTTCAGCTTTTCTTAGGCATTTAAAGAAGGAGCTCTGAGAAATAAGACTTCTCTGTGTGTGTAAAACAAACAAAAAAAAACATTTTTCTTTTGGGTTTTACTGTTTACACTAATTACCTTCGGTATTTGACTGTGTCAGTGCCCTACTGAAAGTGTTCACATTTCCTAGCCAAGATTGTTTCAAGAGTGGCTTCGAGTCTGTATTTGATGGCATTCTGGTTGAGAACTTGAAACCAAGTCCCTCTAAAGCTAAGTTCCCCTGCTGAGTTTATAATTAATCTCTTTATCCAAAACCTTTATTCCCTTTTTTGTCCCGTCCACGTTCCCCTCGGGATTGAGGAGTATCACAGAAAAGGGGGGATTGAAACCAAGCAGAGTGCTGTGGAGTCTTCCCGGGTACAAAAAGCCTCTTCATGTCCCCATTCCTTGTTTGTAGAAAAAAGGCTTTAGTCTCCTAGGCTTTCCCTGAGTTCCAAAGAGCAGACTTCAGTCAGTTAATGATTTAGACAGTAGAGTCACAGGACTCCTAGTTCTTCCTGAAGGGATGCAGAAAACAATCTGGTGCATATCTTTTGAGTTGTTCTACGGAAACTCAGACCCCCACCCAGGTGGAAAATAGTGACTACATGCTGACCACAAACACAAAGACCCCACACTGATTGGAACCAGAAGGTTGAGATTCTGGAAACATCACCCTGTTACCTCACCGTCGGCCAATCAGAAGGAGGTCCACAAGTTGATCATGCATCCTATAACCCTCTTCCCTAATGTTGTCTTTCAAAACCCTTGTCTAAAAGCCTTGGGGGAGTTCTGGTCTTTTGCGCATGAGCTGCCTGTTCTCCTTGCTTAGTGCCCTGCAAGTAAACCCTTACTTTGTTGCAGACACCCACTGTACAAGTTTGGCTTTCTGAGCCTCGAACACACAAGCCCTTGCGCATAACAGATTTAAGCAGACTTTGGATTGACTTAAGCTCCTAAGCTGACTCTGACAGCTGAATGACTCTGCTCTACAGTAGAGGTCAAGCATCTGATCATGTTAGAACAGGTCTAATTTGGGGGGTGTTTAGGAATCAGGGTGTCTTTTTAATTCTTTTGGTCTTCTGTTTGCCACATTTTGGCAATCTGAGGCAGATATATCAGCAGCAGAGTAACTGGCTGTCACTGGATTTACATGCCTTCGCAAAACAGTGTGAAAAGATTGTAAATCTGTTACGTTCAACTTGTATTTCACTATTTTTTCCTGTTGTAAACATACAAGATAATTGTACAAAGCACAGATTTTTAAAAAGCAGAAAATTATAAAACCTTTATTATCCCACTACTAAGAGATAACTGCAGTTAACATTTTAAAGTTATGTACTTCTAAACATTTAAATGTGATATATATTTTGTTAAAAATGCAGCATCATTGGTTTTTTTAAACTAATCGATTGTAAATCTCTTTATTTCAACAACACATTATAGATAATATTTAAACTGCATGTGTGTCATCATTGAGTGTATTCAGTCTCCTACTAGACATTTAGATTGTTGCTAATTTTCACTGTTGTAATGAGTGCTGTGACAAAGAGTCTTACAAATAAATATCTGCAATCATTGATTATTTTCCTGGGAAGTGGAAGTGTTAGGTCAAATTTCAGGCATAATTTTGAAGTCTTTAATGCTTTTGCAAAATTGCCTTCCAGAAAGATGGTAACAATCACAGGTACTTTTACATGTGATATGTGTATTGAGTTCTTGTTTTTGTAAAAGTTTTTAACATAAGCAGAAAAAGAAGTATCTGGCTATGTCTGATGCAGATTACTCTGGGAATCTTGTGACAGCAAATATAAATGATTAGCAAATAATCTCAAGTCTGCAATGTAATTGTCTCTGAAAAGAAAATGTCAGCATTTGAAGTAGCATGATATTTTCCCAGGTTTACTGAGATATAATCAACAAGTAAAATTAAAATATACTTAAGGTGTACAACTTGATGATTTTGTATAAACATGCATCGTGAAATGATTCCTACAGTCAAATTAACTAACACATCCATCACCTCACAGAAGTTACCTTTTTGTTTTATTTTGGTTTTTGGTGAGAACGTTTAAGGTCTGCTTTCTTAGCAGATTTCAAGTATAAAAAAACTATATAACTGTGGTCACCATGCTATACATTGGGTCTTCAGGATTTATTCATCATATACTTATACCAGCCTCTCCCTATTTCCCCACCCCTTAGACCCTGGCAACCATTCTACTCTCTGTTTCTATGAGTTGGATTTTTTTTCTTTAGATTTCACATTTAATGGAATTTTTTTTTAAGATTCCACCATGCAGTATTTGTCATTCTCTGACTTAGTTCCCTTAGCATAATGCCCTCCAGCTTTATCCATGTTGTTGAAAATGGCAGGACTTCCTTCTTCTTAAAGGCTGAATAATATTCCGTTGTGTGTGTATATGTAAGTGTTTATGTGTGTGTGTTTTACATTTTCTTTATCCAATTACCTGTTCATGGACACTTAGGTTCCTTCTGTTTCTTGGCTGTGGTGCATAATGCTGCAGTGAACATGGGAGTGCAGATACCTGTTCAGGATAGTGATTTTGTTTCCTCTGGATACATACCCAGAAGTGGGGTTGCTGGATCATATGGTATGAACTAGCCATGACTGAAAAAGGATATAAGGTCTTCTTTCTAAAGATTAGGAAGTTATAGGTATATATAGAGTCTAGTACAAAGTAGTGATTCTCAAACTTTTATGTGAATCAAATCACGTGGGTAAGCTTGTTAAACGTTCAGATTTTGGGATCCCACCCAGAGGCAGATGTGTGGAGACCACACTAAGGAAAACCGAATTAGAATATACACATTAGTTCTATCTTTTCAAACCTAAAGGTGGTGCAGTATGTAATCCCATTAATGGTAGCTAGTCTGTTTTACAGAACAAAAGCTGTATCTGAGACTAGGAAAATACTTACAGTGACTTAGGTATTTAGACCAGTGTTAAATGGTAACCATATAATAATAATGGTAATTGTTCTTATTATTGTCATTCTTTTTTTTAAATAACTCTTTCGTTTTCATTGTCTTTTTTTTTCAATTTGATTTTTTTTGATTGAAGTAGATTGTCATTCATTTTAAGTTAGGTAAAATATCAGTTGTAGTGCAGATACGTTAAATTTATTAATTTGCTTTTTCTCATTTCTTTTTGTAATAGTTAATTTATATTATTTTAATTATGATCTTCATTGACTGCACTTGTGCTTTATTTTCTCATTTTCTTAAGTCTACCTGAGAGTGTCCTCTTTGTGGCATTATAACATAACCTCAAATACATCTACCTGCTGACAGCTCCAGAATTACAGGGGTTACTCTGTGTAGGCCCCAACCTAAAATCCAGTTGAAATGAATTACAGCAAACAGCACAGGTTCTTCATGTGTGGTTTAATTCAGGCATTTGTCCCAGAGAGTATAGTTGGTTATTCAGTTGCTTAAAGATAGGAAATTGGGCTAGATGATTTCTAGGGGTCCTTACCAATTCATATTTCATATTTGTGATTATTGAGCCTTAGTTTGAAACTACTTGTAAGAGTAGTTGACATTCCTGAAGTTAGGATGTGATGCCTAAGACGACATGATTTCCTGATTGTCTGAATATGATCTTCAGCAGTCCCTTTTCTATTTCCATTTAATTTTAACCAGTCAGAATTGCTTACAGTCTATTTTTAACATCTAGGAAGAAGTGGTGAAGTTAACTGAGAAATGTCTTAATAATGCCATTGACAGCCCAGGATTGAATGCCAGGAGAGTTCCTCCTGACTTGAAGAGTAACATTTTGAAGGCTCAAGTAGAAGCAGTACATAAGGTAAGCTGCCTTTAACAGAGTCTTGGTGAAGAAAAAAGGAGCAAGACACTTGGAGTCAAGAGACCCTGTAGAACAAATAAAATACATGAACATTAAATGTGACTTACCTAGCTCATGATTAGAGTAGTATCAAGAAACATGCTCAAGATGGCAAAATACCTTCCCCACTCTAAATTCTAATCAAGCCAGATTAAGAGGGGTCAGTCATGGAATGAAAAGATGAAAGATATTCTAGGATATAAGAAATAAAAAAAAAAAGTCAATTTCCTATAGAGGCGAGTCCCTAATATTTGCCACTATTATAGCCAGAAAATCTAGTTATTTTTAGGTCCCTGTCAATTGTAAGTCTGTGACTTTAGGTCTTTTATCAATTTGCCATTTTCCCACCACCCATCTATTCCCTAATTCAGCAAAATTATGTTGGTATTAGCAACAGAGTGATAATTAGAAGGTGACAAGTTGGTTGACATAAGGTAAAAGATGCAGTGGGTAGGGACCAGCATTCATGAAGCTTATGGCATCCATGCTCTCAAAATACGCTTTCCCTTGGCTCTCCCTAATTTTCAGATTTATCCTCCATGCTAAAAGCAGAAACAGGACTCCTACCAAGTCCTGTTGTCAACTAAATTTTAAAATATCCTGTTTTTGAGAAGGTGCTCTTTACCCATCCTGTCCTCAAGCACAAGCCTTGAAGAGAACTGAAAAGACTTAAGGAGTATTATTCATGCTTTCTATCTACCTTCTCTCCCCAGTATAAACATAAAACATTATATTTACATATAAAAATAAATATAAAATATGGCAATACAGCCTCTGAAATCAAACAAGTTGCATTTGAATCTACCACCTACTAGCTTTGTGGCTTGGCAAGTTAATTTCCCTGAACCTCAGTTTAATTATGTTTAAAAAGAAAGAATGGCTTTCCTGACTACAACGTCATGAAACTAGAAACCAACCACAGAAAGAAAAACAAGAAAAAAGCAGTTATATGGAGACTAAACAACATGTTACTAAAAAAAACCAAACTCAAAGAGGAAATTTAAAAATACCTTGAGACAAATGACAGTGAAAACACACCCATACCAAATCTATGGGATGCAGCAAAAGCAGTCCTTAGAGGGAAGTTCTTAGTGATACAGGCTTTCCTCAAAAAATAAGAAAAATCTCAAACAACCTAACCTACCACCTAAAAGAATTAGAAAAGAACAAACAAAACCTAAAGTTAGCAGAAGGTAGGAAATAATAAAGATCAGAGAGGAAGTAAATAAGAGATTTTAAAACAATAGCAAAAAATTTAAAAACCAAGGTTCTTTGAAAGGGTAAATGAAACGGAGAAACCTCTGGCCAGGCTCACCAAGAAAAAAAGAGAGAGGATCCAAATAAACAAAATAAGAAGTGAAAAAGGGTAAACAACAACCGATAGCACAGAAATACAAAAAACCTTAAGAGAATACTGTGAGCAATTACATGCCAACAAATTAGACAACCTGAAAGAAATGGACAAGCTTCTAGAAACATACAGCCCACCAGAACAGAATCAAGATGAGACAGATAATTTGAACAGATCAATCACTGAAAGTGAAATAGAATCTGTAATTAAAAAAAAAATAACTCCCTGCAAACAAAGGTCCAGGACCAGATGGCTTCACTGGGGAATTCTACAAAATACACAAAGAAGAACTTGTACTGATACTTATCAAACTCTTCCTAAAGACTGAAGAGGACGGAACACTCCCAGATTCATTCTATGAAGCTGCCATCACCCTGATACCAAACCAGATAAGGCATTACCAAAAAAGACAATTACAGGCCAGTATTTTTGATGAATATAGACGCAAAAATTCTCGAGAAAATATTAGCAAACAGTATCCAACAACACATAAAGAAGATAATACACCACAATTAATTTGCGTTGATCCCAGGATCACAAGGATTCAATATATGCAAATCAATCAATGTGATACATCATATTAACAAAAGAAAAGACAAAAACCACATGATTTTCTCAATAGATGCAGAAAAAGCATTTGATAAAATTCAACACCCATTTATGATAAAAACTTACCAACAGCCGAGACATGGAAGCAGCCTAAATGTCCATCAGCAGATGACTGGATAAAGATGTGTGTGTATGTGTATACACACACACACAATGGAATACTTACTGCTCAGCCATAAAAAGAATAAAATGCCACCATTTATAGCTGCATGAATGGACCTAGAGATTATCATACTAAGTGAAGTAAGTCAGAAAAGGAAAAGACAAATATATATCACTTATATGTAGAATCTAAAATATGACACAAATTAACTTCTTTATAAAACAGAAACAGACCCACAGACAGAAAACAAACATGGTTACCAAAGGGAAAAGGGAGTGGTGAGAGATAAATTAAGAGTTTGAGATTAGCAGATACAAACTACTATATATAAAACAGATAAAGAACAAGGCCCTACTGTATAGCACAGGGAAGTATATTCAATATCCTGTAATAAATCACAATGGAAAAGAATATGAAAAAGAATATATGTATATATAATTGAATCACTTTATACCAGAAACTAACACAACATAAATCTAAC